TTTAGGCCTTCCGCTAGGGGCTAAAAGAAACTGTGAGAAACTGTGGGAGCCAGTCCTAGCTAACTTTGATAAGAAATTGGCGGATGGAAGCTTCTTCTTTGTCTATGGCCGGTAGATTGGTGCTTATTAAGTCGGTTTTATCCTCTTTACCTATCTTTTATCTCGCTATTTTCAAGATTCCAGCTAAAATCTGTCAAAAATTAAACTCTTTGATGGCGAATTTTTTATGGGGTGGAGGAGAAGAAAAGAAGAAAATGCATTGGGTGAGTTGGAATAAATTTGTAAACCGAAGTGTGGAGGTGGTCTAGGAGTTGTTGATTTGAAGCTTATTAATAGAGCACTATTGGGAAAGTGGGTGTGGAAGTTTGCCCGAAAAAGAATCTTTGTGGAAAAAGTTCTTATGTTCTAAACATAGTGTTAGTTGTCTTTCTATGGATGTCAATAAGTCTCCCCATAAGGACTCTTGGATTTGGAGAGGTATTGTGAATAGCTACATGAAGGATGATTTCTTTGGAGGATGCATTAGATCTCATGCGAGGTTACAAGTTGGGAATGGCAATTCGATTTCTTTTGGAAAGATACATGGTTGGGGGATTTTCCATTGAAAGTTCTTTTTCCTAGGATTTTTGCTCTGTCAACAAATCAAGGGGTAAGGTTGCTGAATTTGGTAGTTTTGATTTGAATGGTTGGGTGGAATATTAAGACTAGGAGGAATCTATGCGATTGGGAAGTGGCTCAGCTGTTGATCTATTGGACAAGCTCAATGTTATCAAATTAAATGAACTTTGGAGGATTGCATGCTTTGGGTTGGTGCGGGCGAGGGTTTGTATTCCGTTAAAGCTTGCACGAAATCTTTCTACTCAGTGGATGAGGATAACTTTAGGTGGAACAAATGTGTTTGGCAAGGTCTGGTTCCTCCTAGAGTAGAGGTTTTCCTTTGGCAACTATCACTTAATAAAGTAGCGGTTAGAGGGAATTGAAGAAAAGGGGGTTCACTTAGGGGAGGACTCTCTATGCCCCTTTTGCAATCAAGCAGAGGAATCAGTTCAGCATCTGTTTATTTACTGCCAGTTTTCCTGGGTACTATGGAACAGAATCATAGCCTACTGGGTATCAAGTTAGCCTTACCTACTGATCCTTCATCAATTCTAATTTCATGGTCTGTTCTTAGGCCATTTTCTAATATGTGGAAGTTTATTCCGGGGCTGTTTTATGGTCGATTTGGAAGATGAGAAACGAAATTGTTTTTGAAAGAGGCAAGCTGGACACATCCTCATTGTTTTTCACAGTCAGGTTAAGGCTTGCGAAATGGTTCCTAGCTAGTATCCTTTATCCTCTATTCAAGTGGACTCTCTAATTGTGATCCTTCATTGGCTGATAATATTTCAGCTTCTTGATTCGAACAGGCCTGTGGTTTACTGGAGTCCTCCTCCAGTCGATTTTTTTAAGTTTAACGTGGATGGAGCAGTTAGTAGGGTTGGGTTGTTAGCAGGAATTGGGGGCATTCTTAGAGATTGGAATCGGATTAAATGATGTCGTTTTCAGAAAAATAGGGCCTACTCCTATTATTTTAGCAGAGTTAAAAGCTATCAAAAGAGGAATAGACATCTTTGTGTCATCAGAATGGGTATTGAAGGGAAGGCTTATTATTGAATCTGATTGCAAGCTAGCTGTGGAGTGGTTGAAATATCAGGAGTCAGTTCCTCCTTTCTTTTAAATTTTGTCAAGGATTGCGGATGCGGTTTCTGAGTATGAGGTCATTGTGAGGTGGATTCCGAGAAGCTGTAATTGCGAGGCAGATTTGCTTGCAAAGGAGGGGATTGGGTAGTGGGTCACTTTTTTAGTACTGAGTTCGGAGGTTTTTAATCAAGGCGTTATAAGAGTGTGCTTAAGTTTTATGTATCTAAAGGAGTGGTTCTAGTTTTATGTAATTTTTACTTATCAATATATTAAGGTTCTCTATTCCTCCTTCCCTAGTAGGTTCTGACCTCATGGTAAGGGCTACTTAGAAGGAGGTTTTTATGAGACCTACTTTTCCTATCAAAAAAAAACAAATGCCATCGCTGTCTTTGCGGGCATCGCAGTTGGTTTTGTGCATTTTGATTTCATGAATTAATAAATTAAAACTTTTAGTAGTTTTACCCAGGGAATCTCTTGGTATTGTTTCTTATGTTTGCCACAATTTACCATGTATTAGATTTTTGTTTGAATGTATTTTCCTGTTAATTTCTCTGATATGAAAGGATGTTTTATTCATTTTGAATCTTGCAGAAATAAAATGTCAAGCCTAGAGAAAGAGCGCCAGGATTTTCTGTCAACTATTGAAGCTCTTCAAGAAGGTAAGTATGCAACTATAAGGGTGTTTGTCATAATAGTATTTAGCAATATGTAAATTTTTACATTTTTTCCCTATAATAGCCATATGCTTTCTATAAATTCTTCTTATTCATTTAATACAGAGAAGAAGGTACTCCATTCGAAGCTTAAAGATGCTTTCTGCAGTGGAAAGTCTGTCGAAGTTATCAAGAATACTACCAGTAAGAAGGATATGTCAACTTCAACAGAAGATCTAGGTAATTGCGTTGCTTTTTTTTTTTATAGGCATCTACATGCATAAATTACCGTACCCTTTTTTACTGAAGCCAAATCCAGTTGCATATGGCAAGAAACTGCAACGTATTCCCAATTCCAAAACATACTATTGGGCTGAGACTCAGGTCAATTTCTCCTTGAAGTCCTATGATGCTTTAACTCTTATTTGAGGTTATGGCTATGGTATGTCTTGTAGGTTGGGTGCATGGGATTAGGTGTAGTTTTATTATTTTACATATTGGAAGTGTTGCTCTTGTGCAGGATTTGGAGTAGGTAGTTATCAGGATGCGGATAAGTTACTTCAACTCTTGAGTTTTTGTAATGCATTCATAGCACACATGAGCCTGATGCTTCAGAGTACGCATTGATATAAACATATCATCCTACATGGACGTACAAATAAGAAAACTTTAGGACAACTTAGTATTTGTGCTAGACCAATATCAACATCCATATTTGAACTTGATTTTGAGTTAAAAGGAAAATCAAATACATAATCGTTGCAGGGGCATCAAGCTCCAGTACTTCAAAGCCGTTCTGATAAGTCTGGTAGTGATTGTAGTAGTTATGGTGATTCTTTCAAGTTGCTTTGATTTCTATGGTCCTTTGTTTTAATTTTGATTTTATTTGTTGCATTTTTGCAGCAAGTTCGGACACTACTTCTGATGACAAGGAACTAAATATCAGTACTGATGCCTCTACTGCGAGCTTGCTGCCTGAAAATGGAGGATTAAAAGTTTCTTCTGTTTATATTCCTCCTGATCAATTGAGAATGATTCTGAACATTAATTCTCTAATTTCTGAGGTAGATTCTTTTACATGTTTAAGATTTTCTTCTGGTTTTTATATGTTTTACTTGGTCATAATCACTGGACCACCTTTTTCTTGTTGCAGTTAACAATGGAGAAAGAAGAACTGACTCATGCTTTGTCATCCGAGTCATCTCAAAGTGCAAAGCTGAAGGTAATATACCTGAACTAGACATATAGTCATTATTTCAAGTATTTGTGTTAGTTTCATTTGGTTCTTGTTGCTAGGTATCATATTAGAATACATAGAAAATTTTTAACAGATTGAAAAACTTGATGGTGGAATGTAAGAACATATTTTAATCAGAGCAGCTACTTAAAGGCACAGTATTTGTAAGTATTATTATATTTTCAGTTATTTTCTTGCTGACTATATTTCCATTTTCTTCAATTCGGTCATATGAATTATTGTTTCTATTCCTAAATGAATTATTGTTTATGATTTACTTTGTCTATAACATTTGTTAATTAAAAAATGAAGGAGTTGAACGAGGAGTTGTCTCGGAAACTTGAACTGCAAACTCAAAGATTGGAGCTTCTGACAGCTCAAAGTCTGGCAAGTGAGAGTATCCTGACTAAACAACCTGTGTCTCGAATAATTCACGAGATTACTACTCCATATGCAGATGAGGGTGATGAGGTACCACCGTTCTCTCGTGTTAGTTATTTTTATTCTAACGTTATGATTGTAGGTTTGAAGAGGCACTCTTTTGCACTTTTAAGTCATCTTACGGGAATATTGAGCCTGCCGTATATATTAACGTTTAATTCAACCTTGCCAAAAATCGATACACGCAGATATCCGAGAATTTCAAACATTTAAAGTTTTTAATTTCTTTGTAGGTGGTGGAGAGGGTATTAGGATGGATCATGAAGCTCTTTCCCGGAGGGCCATCAAGACGGAGACCCAACAAGCGGCTTTCGTACTAAATCCACGTAATCTTGGCAAAGACAGGTCTAAACTTGCATATACTTTTGTTCTGGTTTGCCTTCCCTTGTTTTGGTGGTTGTGAGGGAGGTTGCGAATTCATATAGCTTGAGTCAATTATACACAACTCATTCTTTTTGATAGAAGCAAAAATTAGTTAATGTTGATCGCGCTACCATTGATCAGCAAAATCCAAATGTCAGTTTGTTAAAGAGGGGTATAAGGAAGGCCCTCGCCATTGTCGGTTTTCATTTTCGGGATCAAACATTGATGGGGGCAATCACTCGATGCTGAGAGGAACTAAGCGACATATGGTATAGGAAAGATCCCTAAGTTTGTAGCGTGCATTTGTTGGATCTATGATGAACAAATTTGGGTCCTTAAAAAACAGTTGATTCTGTTGCCTTCACTGTGACTTTGCTTTGATGCATCTTTAGTCCATAAGAAGGTGGCCTTGATGCAAATATCAAGTTTTTTAATTAAAGACATTAAATTCGAACTCGAATTTGAGTTTTGGCTAGAACTTGAAGTTGAATATGAGAATCCAACTATTTATTTTACATGACAGGTTTTGGGTTATTTAGATTATATCAAGTTCGTTTTGGTTCTAACATTATAGACATCAATCTTTGTCGATGAAATGTATAAATTCAACTACTTGTTACATTTGATTTGACCATCTAGCTGTTCTAAAAACTAATTTAAACACTTAGATCAAAGATATTGAAAATTTTAATCACTTGATTGTTAGCCACTAATGATTAAATGATAACACAAAGTTAATATCTATAATTTTATACATTGTACTATCACAATTTATAACATTTTTTAGCATGTCACGTGGAATTAAAATGTATAACTCGTTTTCTCTTCCACCTCTCCATCAACAGAATTTGGAAGTTCTTTCTTTGTCAAAAAATTAAAGGGAATTCGAAAAAATATAATTTTTCACAAAAAAATAATGAAGGTTTTAGGTCCATTTCATAATTTTTAGAAGAAAAATATCCAATCATAAAGTTGTTAAATATTTAATAAAAAAATAGTCAAAATAAGTAAAAATCAAAAGTTCAACGAGTAAATTAAAAAAATTAAATTTTAATGATCAAAATAGGAGTGAAGACAAAAGTTAAGCGATGAATTCGTAATTTATCCAAATTGAAATTAAATTAAGAAATGATTATATATTTATGTGATATATTAAATTGGAAAATTATATATTAATGTAGTAGAATTAAAATAAATAAATTATGTTATTGTGTAGCAGTGACAAATAAAAAATCTTGATTCCTAAATTATATTTTTGTGTAGCAAGCACATGACATGACCCTAGTATGTTTCCATCATCTCCATCCATAAACGCTGCAATGCAAGGCGATGTATCTCCCTGAAATATCAAATTGCAGACAGCTTTGGATAAGAAAGGTAAAACCAGACAACTTTCAACCTTATTTGAATTAAACACCACAATACATGCATGAAATGAAGATAGTAGATCATCATATTACCTCTGAACCCAGTCAAACTTGAAGACTTTACAAGCCTTTTTGCGAATCTCATTGTCAACATGATACAGTAATGGTCCATCTTATTCCAATCCTTTGCATCACTAATCATTGTGCATAAGGATTCATTCTTCCAGTTGTGCCTTTAGTTTTATCAGCTTCTCCTGCTTTTTGAATATTTTCAAGTCCTTCTAAGCAGACTTTGATTATATTCAGATCGCGGCAGTTGAGAAGATCACACAACGGTTTGATGCAACCTTGACTTACAAGAAAACTGAAACATTGTGACATATGCCCCCAGGTGAGGTGCTTTATTAATGCTTGTCCACCAAGAAATTATTCCAAACAAAGAATATGTATATGGGAAATCATTTTCATACTTGATCTGAACATGAGTCCCGTGAGATGTGGCATTTGAGATGGCCCGCGCAGCTTCTCCTTTAATATCAAGTGTTTCACCACTTTGTAGTAGATGAACCAGATGAGCAATAATATCAGCTTCTATCACAGCCTGTAAATTTCAAACCATTTCATTATATAAATGAACACAGACACAATGTTAAATCCAAAATCGATAAAACCAAGTGAAATAGATATCAAGGACAAAAAATAAAATAAAAGAGGTCCAAATGTTACTTGTATATGCACCTTATGTTTTGCTGTGGTATTTTAGATGGTCCGGCAAGCTTCCTTCTTGATGCTTATTTTATGCTTATTTGTCAGAAGTTTCAAAAGGCATGGCAATGCCTGATGGCTTATAATACACTGTACCCATAAATGAGAAAACACAAAATGGTTCATATTATATAGACAAAATGATAATCAACATAAAACAAAAGTGGCTAAGACCTGGGTTTGCACATCATCTGCAGAGGCAATATTTCCAACTGCGCGAAGAGCAGGTTTCAGCACCGAAAGTGATGGATGCCTATGGAAGCCAAGTAATTTATTATTTTGGTAAGGAAAAAAAAAGGAAATATAAAGACTTTTAGAATGAATCAACGTAAAATAGTGTAACTCACTGCAAAAGTTCCACCAGACGCCTGCATACGCCAGCTTCAATGACGGTTTGGATTTCAGCATTTGTGCCATCAGAAAGATATGAGTGCCCAACATGCATCAGATAGGAAATGTTCATCATTTGAATGAATAAGACGTGCTAATGTTGGAAGTGCAGGCTTAACCTGAATAATTAGTACAATTATAATAAATTCAGCTCTGCTAGTGAATTAAGTATATAAAAATTTCATAGCTACATAACAATTCTCAACATTCTTTAGCCACTGTATTAGATTTCAAAGATCTAAGACAATAATTTTGCATTGTAAAGCAATAACGCTAAACGTGAAGTAACTTGTTAATTCATGTTAAATAAACAATTGTTAACCAAAAAAGGAGGGAGGTCGGGTCAAACCTGAACAAATGGGGGCAGGGGCTTGCCACGAAAAAAGTTTAACAGGGTCCATGTAGCAATTCTCAGCACAGAAAGTTTAGGATGCTCATTCAAATGGGCCAATAAAGGAAGCAAAGCACCATGTCCAAGTGCAACATCACGACTTGCAGGAGAATCACCAGCTACATTTCCTAATGCCCAGATCGACTGAATTCCAAAACACAAAGAATATATATGATTCATACCAGCTTTTTCCAAGTAAGATTATAAAACTACTGTAAGTTCATTTCCTATGAATACCTGCTCGCGAACATCATCACTTGGGGAACCAAGTAACTTGACTAGTATCGGAACAGCCCCATGATCAATCACCACCTTCGTGTTCTCAGATGTCCCAGAAGCTATATTGGTGAGTACCCAGGCTGCCTCAAACTAAATCATGATTAAATTAGCAACAGTCTTAAACTAATGATGGCATAACGTTGAAGCTTTTCTGACAGGAAATCCAACCTGAATCTTTGGGAAATCTTCACTCTCAAGGAACTCAACAAAGCGAGGAACAACACCAGCTTGTATCACTTGGTCAATAGGTGGACCTTTTTCTATGATAAAAAATAAATGTAATTGAAGTATATAATTTAAGTTTTATATGAATATCAAATGAAATATATTTCAGAATAATTTTCTCACCAATTGAAAGCAATTCCCTGAACTGTGTGGTTGCCTTAAGCTGCAAATTAGTATCATCAGTCCAAACACCAGTAACCATGGCAGGAACATTTTCCAGCTGAATTGGCTGTGGTTGGAGCCCTTCACGTCGCTTCTTCTGCAAACTCTCTTCACAGCTGACGTCCTCTACCTAACAGCAAGGGCAAATCATGTTACAGATTTGTCACTGCAAAATAAAAGTAGTGCTTTTTTTTAGATTTCAAAAGTTATAGATGTTATTAACTTACTTCTCTTTTAACAATGCATTCTATGTGCGCCATTATCCGTCCGTTACTTCTTTACAATAGTATACATGATCTTTTGGGTTTCTCTCTTTCTCGCTAAAATCACAATAATACAATCCAGAATCATCTTCAACAAAAGAATCGGTCAGGGTTAGAGGATGACGATGATATTTGGATTGAACAACCTCTGGTATGGGAACACATTTCAAATGAAAGTTAATGGAACACTGTAGACAACGATAAAAGGGCTCTTCTTTGCAGGTATTTTCACATTTATGACAAGCAAAATGTGTTTCCCATGGTATATAGTTGTCTTTTGCACGGAGTAACTGATAATCTTTCCCGAAATAATAAAGGTCATCTAAGTGGGACTCGCATTTCAAGGGTCTCTTTAAGTAATTAGCACATATAGGATGGAGGTCAAGTTGACAATCTTCACAACTATATGCGAAGTTTTCTTTTTCTATGCTCAAAGGGCAGGCATAACATTGTGGGTTTGAACGTTCCTCTGGTTGTTGAAAAACCAACATGTGTTTTAGATGAAATGGGACTTGAATCTTTTGTGGTAGCCTAAGGCAAGACTCGGGGCAAAAATAGGCTGGGCCAAAGATTGAAGATTCACAAATTTTGCATCTTGTTTCTTCTATAGGGTCATTAGAGTAGCCAAGGACAAGCTTATGTTGGTGGCTGAAATGGTGCAACTCGGTTACTCTATCCATCCTTTTTTCTTGAGAAACCCCAAGTTCATGAGCAGTTAGAGCAGAGCATTTCACACCAAGCTTGAAATTACACTGCTCGCAAAAATATATGAAGCCCTCACAAATGTATTTACACTCATCACATGTAGCGTATATTTTTGTCGAATCCATTATTTTATAAAGAAGATATTGGAGTCCAGTATAGAGGTTAAGAGGATGGATAGAATGAAAAGGGTGTCGTATCTCGTATTGCAATTTGGCGCATTTTTCATGCAGGTAAAAGCCACATCCTTCACAGAAGTAGCTAGGACCATCAAGTACCAGAGGAGAACCTCGACAATATTTATAGCCTTTCAACTCCTCGGTTACCTCATATATTTCGTGTTTGTGGATGATAGGTCGAAACTGCATTTAAAAAGAAACAAGTAGATCAAAGGATGAACAAATTAATTTCTTGAGAATTTTATATAGTTTGTGGAGTGAGGTTATTGTTTAGGGGGTAGAAGGCAGTAAGCATTGGGTTGCTATGTTTTCTGTTTTGGTTATGGAGCTCTCATGTATTATGTTTTGCAATGATATTTCATTTTGAATGAGCCAAAAAAGAAGAATTTTGAATTTAAAATTAGTTAATGTGTAAATAGTTGCAAACCAGAGCGTGGATGCCATTACTCCCTTCATTCTGCTCCATTTCCTTCTCAGACAAAGCTTCCTCGCTTTCCATGGAGGATGTAATTTGATCCTATTCATCAAACAAATATTAATCATGAGAGCTCAATCAAAGCCAAGACCTTCACAAATTTAATTCGTACATAAAAAAATCATTTGAAAATAGCAAAGACATTAACAATCCGATAATAAAAATTTCCCCTTTGATTGTAAAAATTAAATTGAACGGTGAAAAGAATTATTACCTCATCAACATCAGGGAGTACACATGGAATATGAGCCACAAATATGCAACTTTGACAGTAATACACAGGATGCTTCGGATCCTTTTCGTTCTCACAATCATCGCAACAAAATTCATCAGAATCATATTCTTTGACCGATTCGGTTAGAATAAGTGGATGCCTATGATACTTTGATGTAGCTTTGGATGGTACAACACATTTTAGATGGAAACTAATATCGCATTGCACACAACGACAATACAATCACCACCACCGCAATGCTTGCCACAGGTACGGCAATCCAACTCAGAAGTACCTCTGAAGTAAGCGAGACGGTGAGGGTGGCAGGCAAGTTTTAGGGTGGGCAAGAGTTTAGCACAGTCCATATCAATGCAGAAGCTGCACATCTCGCACATATACAGAAGATCACCAAAATAAGGGTGACTTGGTTTACAAGAAAAGCAATACCAATACACGTAGGCATCATAGATTAAGCGAGAGTGTGGCCAGGAATATGAAAAGGATGAGCAAGTGTGCTTGGTATCTTATCACTGCATCCGGGGTGAAGATAGAACTTGCATGGTAGACAACCATAGCACACTCTCGATAGATGTTTTTCACACCAGAAACAATCCAAGTCTTGTTCGTGTATCTTCCTATATTTGAAGACGCTCAGCTGGCAAGTATGGGTGTAAAGCTGGATTGTCTTTCTCTTCCCGTCTTTAAACCTCAGCGGCTCTTCATCTTTAGGAAGCTCAGTACCACTGGCCGAAGAAGCACAGGCGAGATCAAGTGTGAAATCGCAGGAAACACAGCTGCATCTGTAGCCAGCAGATATATACAAACATTTATCACAAATGAAATCATCATCAAGCCATTGGAGTTGAAGTCGGTGCTGCAGGTGGAGGGGGTGCGTAATCTCATGATACAGATTACGACCAGGCTTTTTAACCGCGCATGACTTGTGCAGGCAAACATCACAGGCTTCACAAGCAAAGGCACCATCGGAGACGGATCTTCCCTCCACATTCTTGACAACATTTCCCTTCAACGTTCTCAATATATCTATAGCAAGAGTGATCACATTTGCTGGGACGTTGGAAATCCATCTCAAAGATGGAAAATGTAGGAATTGATGTGAAAACAAAGAGTGTGATGAAAGATAGAACAATGATATGAAGGCAATTGTGTTATGTGAGGGAAAACACATGTTGGCACCTAAAGTATAGTTTAGAACAATTCATTTCTTCAGCGATGGGAACACGCAAAGTGTATATGCACAAGTTGCGTAAAGGCAACAACTTCCCATTCCAAATTTGAAGAATAATTCATTTCTTCAGTAAAGTATATATGCATCAGCAGCTGTGTAAAAGCAACAAGCTTTGATTAAAAATTTAAACAGATTGTGGTTCCTGAGATAATTGATTTAAACAAATTTTCAAAATTCTGAGATAATTGTTAGGGATTTAATCAATTTTCCAAAACCTTTGGAGGTATAAAATACTTCAAAACTCTTACAATCAACACAAATCCACTGCGTTTCTTATAAAATAACTAAAATAGTACATCAAAAATAATTTTCCAAAACCTTTGGAGGTATAAAATAATTTTATACATTTAATTGAAGGGCTAAACTAAAAATCTTACCAATTTCAGAAAATAAAAGTAGCCTTGTGCCTTTTAACTGTAGTAGGTAAGGAATTTTGGAGCTTCAAAAGTTAATAAAGTTACGTCATGAATGATGCATTTCATTTAATTGTAGTTGGTATGAATCTTTGTAATTTTCATGTTGGTTTTAGGTTTATGTTTGAACTTCAAAGTCTATATCTACATCTTTTAATACTATTGTTTTTTTTTAAATTAATAGTTTAAAGTGATTATAAGATAAGATTTGTTTAGAATTTTTATAGTCATTGATAACGTATACACATTTTATAAACATAATTATTTAATTTAAAACTTCTAAAAAATAATATTTTATTTTCTCACAAATGTCGCTTAATGAATTTTTTATTTTTATAAATTCCTTCTCTTTATGTAATATTCTGTGTCCGCCTATAGTTATATAATATTATCTTCTATTTTTCAGGACTCTACGGCTATATTATAACCATGAACATTTTCTTTGATACGAGCTGTTCGATGAAATGCTGACTCATGCGTGAGATACTATTAGCTTCGATGAACGTCACCCCCTCTGCCATTCATCATCCATGGTGGGATGTATTCATCATTGTCTGCCATTCTTCTATTTCCACCACCGCCATTTGTTGTTGTTCATGGGGTCCATCATTTTCCAACTACTTCAATTATCATTATTTTATTATTATATATTAGTATAATGATAAAATTAATACTAAATATTTATTTAAATAATCACTTTAACAATAATTCATTTTTATGACGCATTTTAATTCTTAATATCTTATTCTTTTATCAAAATAACTCATATTTGATGAAATTTTTAATTGATTAACGTTTAATGTATGCTACTAACATGTAATTTCTATATTTGTTTAATTATTGAAGTGGCATGTGATATGTTATTATTTTTTGTGATGTGATGTATATTTCATCATCATTTTTTGTGACGTGATATATATTATATCATCACTTTAGATAACGTGATACATTTTATGTCATTATTTTAAATGATGTAACATATATAATATCATTATTTTAGTAACATAATATATGTCACATCAATAATTAAACACATAAAAAAATAATAAAACAATTACCTGAATTAATTATTAGTTATCTAACTATTTTTCTCTAAAATTATAAATTAAAATATTAGAGACTAATTTATGATTATATGTCTATAATAACAACATCGTTTCAAACACCAACTTATCCACTTTGCGTGCTTTCCCAACCTACTCCACTTAGCCGTTCATTGCACTTTAATTATTGTAAATGGTTTTGCAACTACAAGACAAGTCTACACTTTCATTTCAAATTAGATTTAGAACTAAACGCAAATTATTTTAGATTAAACTAAACTTATAAATTGTATGAATTTTAATAAATAATAATTATAATTATATTAAATCACATTATTATACCATTTAATATTTGATGATAGAATAATTTATTTATAATCATATTTTAATTAAATAATTTATTTATATTTTTTTAGAAAAATAATATTTTTATTATGAAACTCATAATTAAATGACATTAAATATAATCATAAAACTAATATTTGAAAATCAAATTAAAACAAGACTCATAATTTAAGAACTCAGTGTGCAATTAACTCTTTGTTTATTACCAGAAACATTTTAACACATACATGCAATGTTCCTGGTCCTTAGTCCGATTTTGATGCTAACATCTCCTCTCTCCGACGCTTTAACATAGCAATCATCTTAGCACGATCAGGCAAGTTTTCTTTGATCAAAGGGACTGATTTGAAATTTTGGATCCACGAGCTCAGTTTAGGGAGCTTGTGTGGTTCAAGTACTTTAAGCCCTGAAAATTCTTCGATGACTCCAAGCCAGTGAGCGACCGAGCAAAATGCAATGTCCACCATGCTTATCTCGTCTCCTCCGAAGAATTTCTTGCCTTCGATCAGCCCGTGTTCCTCGATGGTTTCCAACACTTTCGAGCACTCCTTCGCAGCCTGCTCCTGTTCTTCGCCGTCGGTTCGGAAAAGCCTTCCGATCAGAGTCTGGTAGAAGAGATGAGAAGTTTCAGTATCATTATACAAAGTATAAACAAATAGATATAAAAATCAATTATTAATTGATTTAAAGGGATGGTGTATTAAAATTTTAAATTAATATCCAGGATTCGAATATCGATATTATAATAAAATGAATTAAAAATCATTGTATTACATGTCTCTAAACTGATTTTCTTCTTAAATTAATTCCAAAACTGATTTCCATAACTCTTATTCTAAATTTATAAAAAAAAATTAAAGATTTCAAATTCAACCTCAAATAAATTAAAAAATCATTCAAAAGTTTAAGGATGAATCAATAATTGAAGGACCAATATAGAATGAGAATCAAAATATAAAGATGAATTTAGAATGTTAAAAATTTTGGATGAAATTGAAATGTTAAAAAGTTTGAGGATTAATTTAGAATAAAAATTATAACTTAGGGACATATATACAATTAACTCAATAAATTAAATTAAAAATCATTTCGATGATAAAATTCTACTATATTCAATCTAAAATCTAAATCAATCAATACTCAATAAAAGAGAAATAGTAAACTGCGAAAAAATCAAATGCAAAAGAAGAAAATTAAAAAAATACCATATCATCAGCGAATTTAATCCAAAACAGAGCACGTGCTTTCTCGTAGGGATCAGTCGGCAACAAGGGATTGTGCGGCCAAATTTCATCGATATACCGGAGGATGACGGTGGACTCGCAAATGGGTTTTCCGTCGTGAACGAGCACCGGAACTTTCTTGTGAATCGGATTATACTGAAGAAGTAAAGGACTCTTATCGGAGAGATCTTCGTCGATGTATTCGTAAGATATGCCTTTGAGTTTCAGAGCACAAATTACTCTGAAAGTGAACGGACTTAGCCAAGATCCGTGCAATTTCACGGCCGCCATGATAAGGGGAGATTAATTGAATATATGTGGTGGATCGTGAGAGGGGTGAGAGTAACCCTTTATATAATATGGTGGTCCAATTATTCTATGTCATGCATGATGTAATTTTGAATATTTTTATAAATACTTTTTCCTATAATTTTATATTATTTCTATTTTTCTTTTTGTGTGTCTTTAATCATGATTTGAAGTCTCCACTATACCATTTGAGATTCGTTTGGTTTATGCAGCTTTATTATTTGGGGTAAACTAATTATTTGATCGAATTCCTATTATTTAATTTCTATTTTGGTATTAATTATTATTTTTATAAAATCACATCTAATATTATTTTTTATTCTGTTTTAATCATCAATCGTTAAAAAAATAATTGTAATGTTGACGTGATATTTTTTATTTTTTAATGTTAACGTTGTATTATTATATTGTGATATGTCAACATCATTGTTAATTTCTCAAGTGACCAAAATAGAATTAAAATATAATGTTAGATATGATTTAAAAAAATAATTGTGTGACTAAAATAGAAATTAAGTAACAGGTGAATGACCAAATAGATAGTTTACCTTATATTTTGATATATATTGTGTATCTATGATCATTTTTTGAAGTCTTTACTATAGCACTTTAAATGTATTTTATTTCTACAACTTTTGTATTATATGTTAGATTGTATGACTAGTATATTGGAAACTTGATTTTGATTTAAATAAACTAGCTTTTAAAAAGGAATTATTTTCGCTTAAGGTTCCATTTCCTTGCTTGTAATAATAATACAAACTATAATTCATAAGATAATTTTAACACAGCAAAAATGAAATATTAATACTTTTAATTTATTTGTTGAATGTACTAACATGATCAAAATGAATTTTTTGACACCAAAACAAAAGGTTAATATTAATTTAATGATAATTTGTATAATTTGTAATTTTAATTTTGAGAGACTAATACTGATTTATTCTATTTTAATTCGGATTAATTATAAATGTAGACATAAAGCAAACTCCGATTTAACAAAGCATAAATGTTCATTAATAAAACATCAACAAAGCCGATTTAACATTGTATATTTTTACGTATTTAAATCGACTCAAAACCTATAATATTAAAGAATGAAGATAATAATATTTAAATCAGCCATATTATGACATAAAAACAATATATATAAAATCGATATGCATGGCCTGCACCGCATGCGGTGTTCAGCCGGGGTATAAGAGTTTATCTTTTCGATGTTTCGAGAGTGTTAAAGATCTGATAGAGATAATATGGGGCACCGATTTACCTTTCAAGAATATTTTCTTTTAGTATAACGATGAATATTCGATTTATAAATTTTAATTATTAGATTAAAACTTTTATAAATTTTTATAGGATCCACTCACTCATAACTTCTTAAAAAAATTCGTTTATTTTAGAGTTTATGTTCGATATTTTGTTTTATGATTGCTTTTTTAAACAGTGTCGTCTAAAATTATAATAAAATATAGGATGAAAGGTTCAGAAAATGGCAAAAGGGTTGTTGAAATCTAGGTGAACCAGCAACATAGATATAAGCAGTTGAACCATGTCCACAAATGATGTTAAAACAAGTTCAAGACGTCTTTCCGATTCATTTCGTGGTTAATAAAAGAATTGTTAAACTCAAATTGAATTTGGATCAAGTTTTGGTGTAATAGTGTCAATTTGGCATCCCTAATTATAATTAAATTATATTTTTAAGGATTAAAATGTAATTTTATCCCCATATTAACTTCATTTTATAATTTTTGGGAAGCCAAAACCACTGTTTATCTCTAAATGCGCTGGTGTAACACAACTGTTAGATAGTCTCCAGCAGCTGATAACGTTATCAAAGCCAACAAGTTAAAAGATGGTCAAAATGTGTAACATTTAACAGTTGAAGTCCAAATAAAAAAGCCAACCTTAATTTAGTGATAATTTTTTAGTTTATCCTTTTGATTTTAAGAAAATATTGATGTATGCGTTTTTTAGGGTAGACAAATATTTATTTTGAAATTCGAATTTTTTTTACATAAGTTGTTTATTTTCTGCTGGTGTTAATTCTAAAATTCTATTTGTGTTCGTTCCATAAAAAAAATTATGTTTGGATCCGTCACTATTGAGAAATGTATGCAAAGATAAACATAAAACTCTTCAAATGTATGCAAAGATAAACATAAAACTATATGAAGATTCATTAATTAGCCAAGTGGTCAAGAATGTTTATATTATCAAACATTGTATGAGTTCATACTCTGATATTTATCTTGGAAATATAATATTACTTAATAAAACAACATGAAGGACCTTGAGATGACATGTCTAATGAAGATTTTAAATTTTAATATAATTTAAATTATTTCTTTGCATTTTATATCAATCTTAAAATTTCATAATTTTATCCACAAATTTTTAATATAAATTTTTAAAATTTTATACCTCTAATAAAGTTTTGTGTTCTATTCAGAATAGGAAGGAATAGATATAGAATCAAACTCTCATGTAAGAAAGCACAAACATTAATTAATAAAACACCAACACAGCCGAATACATGAACCACATAATAAGAGCCAACATGCAGGAAAATCGAGACAAGCCCCGCTAAACCAAAGTGGAGATTAATTTTTAGATTTTTGGAAGCAACCCAGCATCTTTATTCATACATTACTTCTATATGGTATACATGTGTAGCTCCTGCATGCCTCTTTAAACCCCTGGCCTTCATACATCTCACTTCACACTATAAGAAAAAGGCAAAAGAAAAAAGAAATAGATTATAGAAAGTTTAAATAGAAGGACTAAATATGTAATTATACCAATATACTTACCTGTTGCAGTTAGTGGAGGTGCTGATCTTGTAAGGAATATTGACGCCGCATTTGCCCGGGAGGCTCTCGGCCAATGGAGGCTTAATGTTGGGGATGGACCTAGCTGCATTTTGCAAGCACCTACATGCAGTTTGGCGGTCCGGGGTGGTTCGAGCAATGCCATTCAGGCCTCGAACGCCATTGCAGCAAAGCACCGGCACGGTTCCCCCGTTCTGCAAGTATCGTACGCAGGCGGCCATCTTCGACGACACATCTCCGCATGTTAGGGCGGTTGTGGCGATCGGAGAAACCACCAACAAGCTCAACAATATAGCATAAACAAGCTTAAGACCAGCCATGGCGAATTTCTTCAAAAAGAAAAAAAACAAAAGGAGATAAGTTTAGAAGATGAGAGGAAATTGTTTTGCTTTATGAAAGTTGCTGGGTGTGTTTCAATGGTGGAAGGGTTTAGGGTTTATATAGAAGAGTGAGTGTTGGAAAACGACAGAAGTTCATTGAATAGGGTAGGTTGGTTGTTGCTGAGGATTTTAATCGAGTCTGCATTATTAAATGAATCAATCTTTACGGTCTTCATGCAGCTTTGAATACAGAGTTGACATTTGATCTTTTACACGTCAGGTAATGACAGGTATCCCTGTCCTCATATTATTTTCTACTATTATAAATAATGTAACAATTTTTTAATGAGGATGAATAGAAGAGTATCGGGAAACAATAGTATTTTAAAAGTGACTTTAATAATAAGAGGAAAGATGATGTTATGGTTGTTCAGCATAGATAAATACGTTTAAAGATGAATATTATTAAATTAATTTATAAAATGTTAAATTATAAAATATTAAATATATAATTATAAATTAGTTAAAAAATTTAATGTAATGTAATTTAATTAAAATATAATATATATAAAATATTAGTTTATATAATCTTATTTTAATTATAATTAGATCATATATTAATTTGAGAAATTTATTAATCCTAATTTACTTTCGTAGCATTGAAGTTTATGTCGTAATTATTGTTGTCACCGTCGTCATTATCGTCGTCGTTTCTGCCATCTTTGCTGTCGTCGGCGTTGTCGGCACTGTTATCATATTTCACCACTGACGAACGACAAAGATTAAATCGACGACGAAAAATGATACCAGTAACGGCAGTGGTGGTGGTGGCAGTGGTGACGACGTTGATGACAACAACAGTGACAGCGACGACATCAATGGTGACGAGATGACGGTGGCGGTGACTTCAAAACTATGAAAATAAATTAAGGTTTATAAATGTCTCAAATTAACATTTGATCTAATTGTAATTAAAATAAGATTATAAAAACTAATATTTTATAAATATTATATTTTAATTAAATTACATTTTAAATTTTAACTAATTTATAATTATACGTTTAGTACTTTATAATTTAACATTTTATAAATTAATTTAATGGTTCTCATCGTTAACTGTGTTCATCTGTGCTTGAACGTTGTAAAATTTTTCTAAGAAAAAATATTATTTTTTTAAAAAATTTAAGTTTAAGTAATTGTGTTTATAGTACCATATATATGTTATTACAAGTAAAGATTCTAAAAAAATATTTTATAATCATTACATTACTTACAACTAAAAAAACAAAGAATTGTATATATATATATTTTTAAAAAGTTATAATTTAAATATTTTTTTATATTTATTAATGACTTAATTCTAAAAGTTTTATAATTAAGAATAGATTAAGTAGATGTTGATAATAATTACATCTATTAAAAATTTCAATTTTTTATACAGTTTTGAATATTTTTATATTTTTAATAATTATTGAATTTTATATACATTTTTAAATTTTTCATATAACTTTTTAAAATTTATAATTTTAATATAAGATTTTACATCTATTTTTGAATCATTAAAAAATAAAGACAAGAGTTTAGTTCTTCAATGCTTCGAGAGGGGCAAAATATTGCAGAGGATAGAGGGATAAAACATGGGGCACCCAACTCACCTCCCAAGATGTGATTTTTATTTACTAAAATAAATTTAAAATAAAAATTCCAAAATTTAATTAACATTAAAAAATTACTATTATAAATATAATTAATTATGTTTAATCAACTTCCAAATATTATCGCACACAATCAAGATTTTATGAATAATTAAATCAATAAAACTTTATGTTGCATTAAAATTTTAATATATAATAGATAAAATCACAATTTTAATTTTTAAAAATTAATAGATAAAATTAAACATTGTTAATAGATTTAATTGTACGCAGTTTTCTAAGTATTAATGTTTAGGTTGATATTTATATAATAATATCAAACAATTTTATATACAATCAATAAATTATATGTTTGTATATTGAAAAACTTTTAAAATTTGAATAAAAATTAAAATGACAATTATTCACCCAAATGACTCATATAAATTATTGATAGAGAAAATAATATTAGTGACCGAAAATGCCTTATAATATACGATTTTGACCAACTTTTTTTCGATTTGCCAAAATGACAAACAAAATCGCAATGCGATCTCCAGTATCGCAAATCAGTTTCCAGATTCGCAACGCGATTTTGACTATTGCATTGCGATTTTCCAAATTTGCGTTGTGATTTTAGAAAATCGCAATGCGAATATGTAAATCGCAACGCGATTCTGACTATCGCAACGCGATAATACAAAATCGCAATGCGATTTTCAAAGCGCCATTAGTATCGCAACGTGTATTTTATTTTCAAATTCCAAACACGAATATTAATATATCCCGTAATCGCAACTCATAACCTAAAACCCTAAATCACAACTCAGTCCCATCTCTATCTCTCACTCTCTACGGCGACATCCGTCCTCATCTCCGACGAAATCCGTCCTCATCTCCGGCGAAATCCGTCTATCTCCATCTCTCAGAGCCACCCTCACAATCATTCACGGTCAGAAATGGAAAATCAACCAAATCAACTACCGATGGTTAGTTTTTTTATTTTATTTTTTTGAAATTTTTGCATTATTATTAAGTTTTTCATATTGAAATTGATGATAAGTTTACTGGTAATTTCAATAATAGATTAACCATTTCACTTAGATTGCTTATTAAATTCATTCGATTGCTGCCAATACTGCTAAACTGTTTAGTCTTTAACCCTGTGAAGTTAGTATTTGTCTTTGTTTTGTCTTTTGGTTGAAGTAATGCAATTCATTCAAGTTTCAATTTTAAACAATGACTATTTGAAACCGAGAATCGCAACGCGAAATGAAAATCGCAACGAAAAAATCGTAACGCGATTTTAGTTTCGCGTTGCGATTTTCTCGTTGCGATTTTCATTTCGCGTTGCGATAGTCATTTTCGTGTTGCGATTTTCATTTTCGTGTTGAGATTTTAAGTTTCAGAAACTATTCTTCTTCTGCAAATTGAAACTTGAATGAATTGCATTACTTCAACCAAAAAATAAAGACAAATACGAAATTCACAGTGTTGCAAATTTAAGTTTGAAGAATAAACTACTACTACTCTTTATGTTTATTATTGTTTTTTGTATATCTTCACAGTGTAGTTTTTGGTATATCTAACTTGGTATGTTTATTGTTTTTGTAGAACTTTTTTTCGGCTCAATTGACCTTAAGGAATAAAATAAGCCTAGTCACTACAATTACGTCGAAGCTTTCACCTGTACAAAGAAAATTGTTTGAGGATACTTGCTTCGGGCCATGGCTGAAAGTATAACATCCGGGTGGAGATGTTATGTTGACCCATTTGTGGCTTCAGAACATGACTAGCGATCTACCCGAGAGTATAAAACGTGGTAATGAAGAGATATGGTTTCATTTTCCACCGGCGTATACGTGTTTTGGGCGAGAGAAGTTTTGCTTAATCACTGGTCTACGCTTCGGACACGATGATGTAGGTAGATACACTAGTCATATTACCCGCCCATCATGGTTATCCTGTGTTTTTCCTGAGCTGTCAATGGAGAAGCCGAATTTACACGTCGACGACTTGACGATATTATTTAATAAGAAAGATGGTTTTACTCGGATGGATAACATCGATGTTGTCCGAGTATGCCTTTTAGTACTTTTGCATGCCGACTTTTTAGGCAGAGAGGCCAGACAACCTATTCCTAAGGACCTAATATTATTGGTAGAGGACCTAAATGCATGGAACCTGTTTCCGTGGGGTTTGTATCTATGGAAAGCTACCTTGAATAAGTTGTCGTCTGTCTTTGATGACCGAAAAAGTTTGCGTGGCGATGGTTCCAAATACACTTTGTTAGGCTTTATTTGGGCCTTTAAGGTAAGAATTTCTATATAATGTTTCCAAAATTATAATTAATTATTTAACAATTACTAATGTTTGTGTATTATATTATTTGTAGATTTGGATATTTGAGGCTTTTCCCGGCATGCAGACATATGCATTAAAAACTTCAAATGATATTCCTAGGGCTATTTCCTGGAAGAGGAAACGGCGACTGTTGGATTGGGAAGAGTTACTACGGTATACGACAATAAATGATATAAGTTAACACAAATATTACTATATATAAACAAGTTATTACTAGTACACGTTTAACTTTGTTTGAGCTTTTATATTGTTAGGAGGTCAACACTCCATTACAGAGGCTGACACCCACGGAGGCTGAGCTTGCCACTGATTGGTGGCAAGCTAGTAAGCGTTTTTTTGATGGCACGGATGATGAAAAGCCTCCACTTCGAGAGCCATCACCTCACCCAGAGCCATCACTTCTGAACGTTGGGGATGATTAGAGAATATAATATAGTTGTTTTAGTGTGAAAACAATTAATAAAACAGCTTGGAGCATGGGGGAATCGGTACCCCCTATGGGGAATCGATTCCCTAAGTGTAAAATTAAAATATTTCGACCGTTACACAGGGGGGAATCGGTTCCCTCCGAGCATACTGGAATTCTCGGAGCCAAACCATTAAGGGGGAATCAGTTCCCTCTGAGCAATCTGGAATTTTTGGCTTTGAAATGGTTCGAAATACTTTGTAAAATTATTTTGAAATTGTTTTAAGATTAAAACTTAATTTTACACTTGAGTAAGGATTAAAAATGATTTTTGAAAGATTTAGAGTAATGTTTTGATATTCGAATAATTATATCGAATATACTTAGAAAACCTTTATTGCACAATCTTAAAATTCATTTAACTTAATTTTTTATATCGAAATATCAAAATGTTTTCAACAATCTCCCCCTTTTTGATATAACAAAACATTTTAGTAATTTTAAGATTTTAAAATCAAAAACCGACGTTTTTGAAAATTACCCCCCCTTACTTTAAGACTTACTCCTCTTTTAAAACATTTAACACTTTTTTTATTGCCAATTCACCCCCTCTTGGCCAATTCCGTCAATCGATTAAATCAACAATTGGCATCAGAGCCTAACTCATTT